ATGTACATAGTGTTTGTAAATTTTAGATTATCTGTATGCTCTATAGGGCTTCTTGCTGATATGAAATGTCGCTTCAAAGTTCACATCAAAAGATTATACTCCCAGAGGGTGAATTGGTCCATTGAAGCTTCTTGATTAAGCCCCAACCCTCCCAAAATTACCTAGCTACATCTGATATGGAGTCAGTTATGTCCAAAAATAATTCTCTTGGATAACGTTTTAACTTGAAATACACACAGTCTCAAACACTTACACACTATAAAATGTTTATATTATTAACGTGCAATTCTACTTGTTATGTAGTCATATTTAATCAGTTTAATAAGCTACTAAGGAAGTTAATAAGGACTTCCATACTTCATAAATGTATTCTTTATGGCAAGTCCTTTTATTGGATACCAATAACCTTGATCTTGACCTTACCGGACTTATGAAAAAAATATTAACCTTGGCAATAACTTTTCAAAAATAAAAGCTAGGGTTTTGATATTTCACATATGTAATTCTTGTGACGAGATCATTAATTCAATACCAATAACCTTGACCTTCTGACCCTGATCTTGGAGTTTAACCTACTTTTAAAATCTTTTAACCTAGGCCATAACTTTTGAATGGTTAGGGCTTACATACTTCACACATGTGTTTTTTGTGGAAATACCTTTCATTTGATACCAATAATGTTGACCTTCTGATTTTGATCTTGAAGATTTCTGTACTTATGAAAAAACTTTAGCCTGGCCATAATTGGGAACAGACGGTAATAGGGCTTTCATGTTTCACAGTTGTATTTTCAGTTAGGAAACCCTACTTTAGGTACCAATATATCAAATTTTCTTTTAAGAAATGTTTAATCTTCACTATGCTGCCATACGGGGGCATCAGTATTTCACAAATACATCTTGTTTTTACAAGATTTTCCCAGCGAAATAAAATCTAAGGCTTCAACTCCTACACATTTTTCTTATTTAAATTTATATTTATTTGATACATAAAGGAGAACTCTGTTTTTAGCTCACCTGAGCCGAAGTAAGCTTTTCTGATCAAAATTTGTCCGTTGTCTGTTGTCGTCGTTGTCGTTGTCGTAAACTTTTTACATTTTCATCTTCTCCTCAAGAACCACTGGGCCAATTTCAACCAAACTTGCCACAAAGTATCCTTAGGTGAAGGGGATTTAAGTTTGTTGAAATAAAGGGCCACTCCCTCTTCCAAGGGGAGATAATTATGAATTAGTGAAAAATTAATGGCATTTTTAAAAAATCTTCCTTTTCAAGAACCACTGGGCCAGGAAAGATGAAACTCATGTGGAAACATCCTCAGGTAGTGTAGATTCAAGCTTGTTCAAATCATAACCCTCGCGGATAGGGTGGGGCCACAATGGCTGATCAAAGTTAACATAGTAATATATAGGGAAAATTTTGAAAAATCTTCTTCTCAAAAACCACTGGGCAAGGAAGGATGAAACTCATGTGGAAGCATCCTGCGGTAGTGTAGATTCAAGTTTGTTCAAATCATTACCCCTGGGGTATGGTGGGGCCAAACTGGCTAATCAAAGTATTTCATAGGAATATATAGGAAAAACTTTAAAAATCTTCTTCTCAAGTACTGCAAAGCCAGGATTAGTGATATTTATATGGAAGCATCCTCTGGTACTGTAGATTCTAATTGTTCAAATCATGACCCCCAGGGATAGGGTGGGGCCACTGGGGAATCCAAGTTTTACATTTACATTTATTTAAAAAAATTTCTTCTTAAGAATAGCAAAGCCATGATTAGTGATAGTAGTATTTATATGGAAGCATTTTCAGGTTATGTAGAATTAAATTTGTTCTAATCATAACCCCCAAGGGTAGGGTGGTGTCACTATGACGGATTTTTACATATAAAAATAAACGGGAAAATCCCGAGAACAGGAAAGCTATGTTTAGTCATATTGACACCTAAGCATCCCCATGTATTAAATTTGTTCAAATCATGGCCCTTTGGGGTAGGGAGGGAAACAATGGGGAATCAAATTCAAATTATTACAAAGTAATATATAGGAAGAAAATGTTTTAAAAAATAAAATGTTTTTTAAAAATCTTTTAATCGAGAACAGCAGTCATATATGTATTAATGTGAAGGCATTCTCAAGTAGTTTTAAAATTAAAGCCCCCCCCCCCGTAAACTTTTAAGTTCTGATCTGATTTGTGCTATTCCTAGCCGATATTACTCAGGTGAGCGATAAGGCCCCTGGGCCTCTTGTTACATAAAATGTCATTCGTCTGTCCGTCTTTCCGGCTGTCCGGCTGTCCGTCAGTCTGTCCGTCCGTCCGTCACAAAAACTTTAACCTTGCCCATAACTTCTGATTCAGTGGAGCTTAGACTTTCATATTTCACTTGTGTATTTTTTGTGACAAGACTTTTCTTTGGGTACCACCAAATTTGACCTTTTGACCTTGACCTTGGAGTTTGACCAACTTTTACATAAAAATTCCAAACTTTTACTTTGGGCATAACTTGAATGGTAGATACTAGGACTTTCATATTTCACATATAAATTTTTTGTAGCAAGATCTTTCATTAGATACCAACAAGTTTGACCTTTTGACCTTGAACTTCGAAACTTCTGTACTTATGAAAAATCTTTAACCTTCACCATAACTTTTGAAGTGTAAGAGCTAGAGCTTTCATACTTCACATATAAGGTCCTTGTGAGAAGACCTTTCATTTAATATCAAAAACTTTGACCCGTTGACCTTGGAGTTTAAACTACTTTTTAAAAACTTTAACCTTGGTCACAACCTTTGAACGGTAGGTACTTGGACTTTCATATTTCACATATGTATTCTTTGTTGCAAGACCTTTCATTTGATTCCAACAAATTTGGCCTTTTGACCTTGACCTTGGAGATTTGCGTACTTATGAAAAACTTTACCTTTTACCATAACTTTTGAACGGTAAGGGCTTGGGCTTTCGTACTTCACATATGTAATCCTTGTGAGAATACCTTTCTTTAGAAACCAACAAGCAAATTCAAAGAATTGTGGTCCCCCGCTTTCGGTGTCTTTTTGGGTGATATGTCATTTTTTATGACATTTTGTGTCTAATATGAACACCCTAGCATGAGTCATCTATTTAGAAATTATCACTGAACTCCAAGGTCAAGGTCAAAGGGTTAATGTTCTTGGCATCCAATGAATAGTTTTCTCAAAAGAATTACATATGTGAAGTATGAAAGCTCTAGCCCTTACCACTCAGATGTTATTGTCAAGATTAAAGTTTTCTCATAAGTACAAAAAATCTCCAAGGTCAAGGTCCAAAGGTCAAGGTTGTTGGCATCAAATGAAAGGGGTTGCCACAAAGAATACATATGTGAAATATGAAAATCCTGTTATCTACTGTTCAAAAGTTGTGGCCAAGGTCAAACTTTTTGCAATGTAGGTCAAACTCCAAGATCAAGGTCCAAGTTCATGGTATTCAATGAAAGGTCTTTTCACAAGAATTATATATATGAAGTATGAAAGCCGTAGCCCTTACCATTCAAAACTTATGGTCAAGGTTAATTTTTTTCATAAGTACGTTGCGTGACAGTGTAAAGAAATCCCGCACGCTTCTGTATAGGTTGAATATTAAATAAGTCGCTAATCACAATCTTCTACATTTTAAAGAAAACTGAATGCATTGTGATACCAAAAAATATGTTTTAATCTTTTCTCTTTGTGGAGCTTATGATCTTGATATTTATAAACGTTCTCTCTCTATATATACTCCTGTTATTGGCATCACGATGCGAATTAGTTTTGAGGTATTTAAAATAGTCTTCGTCTCTCTATATATACTCCTGTTATTGGCATCGCGATGCTAATTAGTTTGGAGGTATTTTATCCAGTAAAATGTGTCATTTTAAGAGTGATCCCCCCAAAAAAAGCCAAGCCCCATTTTTTCTGATGGTATCCCCCAAAGAAACCCTTTTCCCGGGAATACTTCCCTTTGTGGAGTTTATAATCTTGATATTTGGAAAAGCCGTCTCTCTATATATACTCCTGTTATTAGCATCGCGATGCGAATTAGTTTGGAGGTATTCAAATTAATTTTTTCCTCTAAATTTTATTTCAAACAATTTAAAATCATTAAAATAAAATATTGAAATAATAACACATTTAACGCTTCTGACATTACGTAAAAAAAACGTCAAATATTATTAGCATCGCGATGCTTATAACAGGATAATGCCGTAATTTCAATTTTTTACTTTAACTTATATCAAATGATAATTATAATTCCAACTTTAGCCTTACTTTTTATTATCCAGTTATTTTCCAAGCTTGCACATGTTGCATCATTTAATTTGTGGTCTATTTTTAAAACAGGAAGTCTTCAGCATGTTCAGGTCCAGCACAATATCTTGATTAAGCTATATAGCTTTATTAAGCTATCTAAAATAGCCTAATAAAGCTATTTATATGCAGGTTTTTAACAAAAAGTTTTTTAGTAAGATCAGGGACCTATATACTAACTATAGGTCCCTGGTAAGATATAAACAAAAAGTCCCAAGTATTTGACTATTCATATATACAGTACTCATGTAAATGTACTTTGGGCTATCAAAAATACAACCTAAATCATAGAAAGTTCTAACATTGCTGTTGTTGAATACTTTTAAGCAAAAGATGAATTTCCATTGTTTGGGTAACCAGGTCCAGCACAATACCCCGATAAAGTTATATAGCTTGATAAAGCTATATAGCTTTATCAAGGTATTTAAAATACCTTGATCAAGGTATTTTATGTATTGAAAATTCCAAAAAATCCTTATTAAAAAAATTAATTACTGAAAGTCGAGTTCTGAGTTGTTGTCAGTAAATTCGTTACAATGGTTATACAAATTTGTATAGGATATAACGAATTACGGATAAAGCGAATTAAATTCACAGGTCCCCAGGACTTCGCTATAACCGAGTTTTACTGTATGTTCATAGTGCAATCAGACTGCAATGTATTCATTTTTTTCAGATAGGGAAATGGATAAATATTCTGTCCTTACCAAAGGTGACAACGATAAAGATAAAAAACATGAAGAAGAAAATGACTGGATTATGGATCAACTTTTAAATGTTCCTAGCCCCCCTTCTGAATCTCCAAAACAAGAGGTAAGGCTTTGTTGTTTTTTTTCTCATGTAAGCTGACGCTAAGTTTTAATTTATACATTTCTTAAAAATTAACTGGTCTGTCTTTCCATTATCAGTAAGATATACTGCGAAAAGGTTAGTAGTAAAATAACTAGTTATTTTACACACACATTTTCTCTTTTATGATAACATAAAAATATTAAGATAGGACAAATAGATAGACCAAATTTTTCCTCAAATTTAATTTTTCTGAAATTTTTATATTTTGTTCTAGGATACAAAATTTCTCTTTATATATGATATGAAAGAAATTCAACCACACATTTTTTGCCCAAATAGTCTGAAATATGGCCTATCAGACTCCTGTAAGAAGATTGTGAAATCAGACATTCGACTTTAGAATGAGCCTTATTGTCCCCCGCTTGAAAAGTGGGGGATATTAATTTGGGTTTGTCCGTCCGTCCGTCCGTCCGTCTGTCCGTCTTTCTGTCTGTCTGTAACGCTTTCGTTTCCACACGATATCTCGAGAACCCTTTGAGCTTTTGCAATGAAATTTAACATAGCAATTCCCTGTGGCCTAAGGAAGACCCCTATTGATTTTGAGGTCAAAAGGTCAAAGGTCAAGGTCATAAATTAGCAAATTCTGTCTGTTATAACACTTTCGTTTCCACACGATATCTCTAGAACCATTTGAGCTATTGCAATGAAATTTTACATAACAACTCCCTGTGGCCTAAAGAAGACCCCTATTGATTTTGAGGTCAAAAGGTCAAAGTTCAAGGTCGTAAATTTATACATTCTGTCTGTGTGTAACACTATCATTTCCGGGCGATATTTCAAGAAGATTTTGAGCTTATGTAATGTAATCTTATACCAAAACTCCCTAGGACCTCTCTCACCCCTCTCAAAGTGCCCTGCCCCGTTTGTTTTATTAATAATCATAGTATTACATATTGCTATTTTTAGCACAGGGGCATGAGGAGAGTTATTACGTATAAAACAGGTTCTCAGCGGACGTTATGTTCTTATCACATCTATTAGAACTGTTTAATAAAGGCTAAATAAATCAAACACCATGGATTGTGTAAAATTTTGAGAATACCAAACATGAAAACATACCTTTATGTGACTTCATGATTGAATATAATTCGCATCTCTACGGAGCGGCGCCGTGGTCTAGTGGTATGTCTCTCGCTTCAGATGCGAGAGGTCCCGGGTTTGATTCCCAGACGAATCATATTTTTTTTCCCGAAATACTTTTTTTTAACTAAATAATAGTATTCAGCATGTGAAATGAAAAATTTATGAGGTGTGGCTTGTACAAACTCATAAGATCATTACAGTGTGTTAATAAATATTCCATATAAAAAGAATCTTCTATACACATAATAAAGAATAAGCAATCAAATCTTTATATCCATATTGCCATATTTTATTTGCTTCAGTATACATGTATAGATTTAATTATTCTAAAAATTCAGTCAGGGGGATCCGACTCTCCCCTCCCCCCGAACTCTGCATTGTTTACTTTTTCCCTAGGCGGGGGACACAAATTCTCTGAATTAGCTTGTTTTAGAATTAATTATTAATTGATCTATTGCAAATGTCTGTAAAAATTTTATTAAAGATAACCTTTCTGTAACTTAAAATCAGTAAGACATATTGATACTGGAAAGTTTGAGTAAAATATTAAGTAAAAATAGAACATACATGGCGTCGAAATTGAAGATTCATATGTAAATATCCATCAGTTAAAATTTTCTTAAGAACAAATGTATAATTCAATTTTTACAAAAAAAATAACAGAATGATTCAAATGGGTCCTAGAATAAAAAGTGTAAAAAACACATGAATAAGATATTTTGGCGATTAAAAAAAATTTCAATGGCAAAAAAAACTAAAAGATTCAGTAGATGACATCACAATATTTGACCTTTGACCTCTTGATATGACCTTGACCTTTGTACTACATTGTGTACATAAAGAATGGAGACTCCTAATATATGTGTCCAAATATCAGCCCTCTACTATTTATGGAACAAAAATTACACTACATTTTATAACAGACTCTTACATGCTTGTTTATTGCACTTAGATTCGTAAACACATTCCAATATGTAAAGCTCCCAAGTGACCAATATATAGGATTCTCTGATTTTTTCATAAAATATGATTTAAACATGCCAAAACCTATCATTTTTAGCTCACCTGAGCCGAAGGCTCAAGTGAGCTTTTCTGATCAAAATTTGTCCGTTGTCTGTCGTTGTTATTGTCGTCGTCGTTGTCGTAAACTTTTCACATTTTCATCTTCTTCTCAAGAACCACTGGGCCAATTTCAACCAAACTTGCTACAAAGTATCCTGGGGTAAAGGGGATTCAAGTTTGTTCAAATAAAGGGCCACGCCCTTTTCCAAGGGGAGATGATCATGAATTAGAGAAAAAATAATGGCATTTTTAAAAAATCTTCTTCTTAAGAATCACTGGGCCAGGAAAGATGAAACTAATGTGGAATCATCCTCAGGTAGTGTAGATTCAAGTTTGTTCAAATCATGTGAGGTAGGGTGGGGCCAAAATGGCCAATCAAAATTTTACATAGGAATATATAGGAAAAATTTTCTTCTCAAGAACCATCGAGACAGGAAAGATGAAACTCCTGTGGAATCATCCCCAGGTTGTGTAGATTCAAATTTGTTCAAATCATGACCCCTCGGGGGTAGGGTGGGGCCAACTGACCGATGAAAGTTTTACTTAGGAATATATTGGGAAACCTTTTAAAATCTTATTTTCAAGTACTTCAAAGCCATACTTAGTGATATTTATAGGGAATCATCCTCAGGTAGTGTGGATTCTAGTTTGTTCAAATCATGACCCCCTGGAGGATTAAAATTCAAGCCCCCTCCTCCTCCCCCCCCCAAGTAAACTTTCAGTTCTGATCTGATATGTGCTTTTTCCTAGCCAATTGCTCAGGTGAGCGATGTGGCCCCTGGGCCTCTTGTTCTTACAGGGATCATTTATTTTTGTAAATATAGTAATATTATTCTTTCTTTCTCAAGTACTTTTTAAGAAATGGGTTAAAATAGAATTCACGGTTGTGTTTTGTCCTACCTTAACTTACTTTTAAATGCACTTAAAAGTCTTTGATTTTTCATCGAAGGTGAAGCACAAAATCAAATTTTAAGGACAGATGATCATGATGATACAAACAAATTTTTGTCAAACTCAAAAAATTTGAAAATAACAACTTGAGTCCTGTTGTAATGAGTAAAATGAATAAGTTTAACTGCCTATTTTTTGAATTTTTATTCAAATACTCACAAAAATGGGATTTGAAGAGTAAAATATTTGTACAGATTAATAAGGATGGTTTCAGAGAGGTAGAATTTTGAACATCATAGAGGGTTTACAATTTCTTTATATTCTAGAAATTTATTTTTTACATCATTTTCAATGAAATAAGACCAGAAAATATATACCAATCCAGGCATCCATTTTTTTGTTTGTATCATCTGTCCTTAACAACAGTGTATTCTATGCCAATATACAAGGAACTCATTTGCAAAGAAGACACAAAAAGTGTACAGATTAAAAACAATATTAACTGCAAGACATTAGATGTATAGAATGGATTTTGGATAATTTCATTGGCATGAAAATCCAAATAAGAATATAGTTCTTGATTAAATTATGGCCATGTAAAATTTGTTCGGGCTAGTGTAATTAGCCTTTACATCTGCCCAATGGGCATATGCTGAAAAAAGATTTGGCGAAGACCGTGATTTCTTGGGTGTTTCCTAATGAATATACCCCTTTAAGAAATATAGAAAATTTGCATGGGTCATTTCAAATAGTCTAAGTCTAAAAAATGTAGGTTGACAAGGTTTGTGGCATTATGCTTTGTATGAGAAATTGTGTATTAAAAAAAGATTTAACAGTTGAGAAGTCATAGCAGAGGGCCAAAGCTAAACTGCTTTATAGTATTGGAAAGTAAAACTTGATAAAAAGACCCATTCTATCTGTTCTATAGAACAGCATAATACAATGAATCATGTTAATATTAATAATAACACAGGTTGCTACCTTTTCACTGACATTAAATTGATTTATTTAATTGGACTTCTGGAAAAAAAACTTTTTGTTATAATCATGTACTTGCTGGAAGTCGGTTCAAGGTTAAATTCATCAGTGTATATATGATTTCAAATATATGAAAGCAAAATCTCACAGAAAAGTTGTTTTACAGACTGTGGCAACCACAGGGGACAGTGCAGCATCTACATGGTCAGCATTTAGCTGGTTTAGGCTTGTTCTGCAGGCTATTGCTGAATATCTATACATTCCACAGCTGAGACTTAGATTTTCACACATGTTTCAGGTAAATTGTTCTCATATTGCTTGTTAGCTCACCTGAGCCGAAGGCTCAAGTGAGCTTTTCTGATCACATTTTGTACGTCGTCCGTCCGTCTGTCTGTCCAGCTGTCCGTCTGTTTGTCCGTCTGTAAACTTTTCACATATTTGACTTCTTCTCAAGAACCACTGGGCCAATTTTGACCAAACTTGGTACAAAGCATCCTTGGGTGAAGGGGAATTTAAATTGGTAAAATGAAGGGACATATCCCCTCGCAAGGGGAGATAATCAAGAAAAGACAAAAATAGGGTTGGGTCATTTAAAAATCTTCTTCTCAAGAACCACTGGCTCAGTAAAGCTGAAAAATATGTGGAAGCATCCTGGGGTAGTGTAAATTTTAAATTGTTCAAATCATGACCCCCGGGGGAAGGGCGTGGCCACAATGGGGAATCAAAGTTTTCTATAGAAATATAAAGGAAAAATCTTTGAAAATCTTCTTCTCAAGAACCACTGGGCCAAAAAAGCTGTAACTTATGTGGAGGCATTCTGGTATAGTGTAGATTCTAAATTGTTCAAATCATGACCCCCGGGGGAAGGGCGAGGCCACAATGGGGTATCAAAGTTTTAAATAGAAAAATATAGGAAAAATCTTTGAAAATCTTCTTCTCAAGAACCACTGGGCCAGAAAAGCTGAAACTTATGTGGAAGCATCCTGGTATAATGTGGATTCTAAATTGTTCAAATAATGACCCCCGGGGGAAGGACGGGGCCACATTGGGGAATCAAAGTTTTCTATAGAAATATATAGGAAAAATCTTTGAAAATCTTCTTCTCAAGAACCACTGGGCCAAAAAAGCTGTAACTTATGTGGAGGCATTCTGGTATAGTGTAGATTCTAAATTGTTCAAATCATGACCCCCGGGAGAAGGGCGAGGCCACAATGGGGTATCAACGTTTTAAATAGAAAAATATAGGAAAAATCTTTGAAAATCTTCTTCTCAAGAACCACTGGGCCAGAAAAGCTGAAACTTATGTGGAAACATCCTGGTATAATGTGGATTCTAAATTGTTCAAATAATGACCCCCGGGGGAAGAGAAATATATAGGAAAAATCTTTGAAAATCTTTTTCTCAAGAACCACTGGGCCAGAAAAGCTGTAACTTATGTGGAGGCATTCTGGTATAGTGTAGATTCTAAATTGTTCAAATCATGACCCCCGGGGTTAAGGGCGAGGCCACAATGGGGTATCAAAGTTTTAAATAGAAAAATATAGGAAAAATCTTTGAAAATCTTCTTTTCAAGAACCACTGGGCCAGAAAAGCTGAAACTTATGTGGAAGCATCCTGGTATAATGTGGATTCTAAATTGTTCAAATAATGACCCCCGGGGGAAGGACGGCACCACAATGGGGAATCAAAGTTTTATATAGAAAAATATAGGAAAAATCATTGAAAATCTTCTTCTCAAGAACCACTGGGCCAGAAAAAGTGAAGCTTATGTGGAAGCATTCTGGGGTAGTGTAAATTCTAAATTGTAGGAATCATGACCCCTGGGGGAAGGGCGGGGCCATTATAGGGAATCAAAGTTTTAAATAGAAATATATAGGAAAAATCTTTGAAAATCTTCTTCTCAGGAACCACTGGGCCAAAAAAGCTAAAACATATGTGCCCATAGAAGGATCATGGGGTAGTGTAGATTTCAAAATGTCTAAATTATGATCAGTGGGGTAGGGTGGGGATGCATTATGTATAACAAGGGGGAAATCTGGTAAAGAACAGAATGGTCAAAGCTTCTCAGGTGAGCGATGTGGCCCATGGGCCTCTTGTAATTTTTTGTTAATTCAATTGGATTTTTAGTTCACCTCAACAAAGTTGGGGGTAGCTTATGTGATACACTTGGAGTTGGTGTCAGTGACCCTGCTTAAAATTTTTGGTGCATTTTTAGCTCTTCTGAGCCAAAGGCTCAAAAAGCTAATGCTATGGCTGTTTGTGCCGTGTGCGTTAACTTCTTAGAATAAAGGCCATAGTTCAAGAACCCCTTGGCAATTCATTGTCAAATTTGTCAGAGGGTATCCTTGGTCAAAGGGCTACCATTTATACTAAAACTAGGGCTGGGACCCTAAAACAAGGGGAGATAATCAGGAAAACAAAACCAAAAGTACTGGTTGCTAAAAAACCTTCTTCTCCAGAACCTCCTGGCAGATTTTCTCCAAACTTGCATACAAGGGTTAGAAAATGTTGAAGATTGAAAATTATTCAAGGCGTGACCCTGGGGCAAGGAGCGTAGTCTCAAGATCACTTCAAAGTTGACCAAAATTTACATTATAGTGCACTGTGAAGACGCTAGGATTTATTACTTTTTCACATCAAACAGAACAGTATAGTATAATATAAACATAATATATACATGTATGTAACTATGCTTCCCTCGCCACCCAGGAAAAACCATAGATAAAAAATTTGTTTTGAAAAAAAACTATGGAAACCTGTAATTCCGCAGCAATTGCGAGGTAAACGAAATGAATGGCGGACTCATTCTTACAAACCTATGCAACTTACTAATATGTAAAATTTTGAAAATAGGACTTCACATCATATTAACACAAAAGTAGGTCATGGTGACCTACTTTTTACACTTTACGGGCTTTTGCTTTCAAATTGATTTGGAGGCATATTTTGGACACTTTAAGGCCTATGATCATCAAACTTTGTCAGTTGATGCATCTTGTGTCCTCAAACAACGTCAACTTAAAAGTAGGTCAGCATGACCTACTTTTTGAATTATATGGCTAATCTTTTCTAAAACATTTAAACCCATTATATCAGACATTGACATTTAGACATTTAGAATCACCAAATCTTTTAAGTTGATGCATCTTGGGGCCTTAAAATATATTTATGAAAAAGAACGTCACTGTGACCTTCTTTTTGAATTTTCCGGGCATTTGTTTTCAAATCGTTTAAAAGGCATATTTTGAATGATTTCAGAACTATGAACATCAAACTTTTGACATTTTATGGCTAAATCTAAGTATCTTAGATACTTATTGGCTGTAGACAATGCCACAAATTACATTATTTATAATTTTTTTATCATTTACCTTTTTATACATGAACAATGTACCATTCATTTCATCATGTTTTCTAAAACACTTAGCTAGGCACACCACATTCTCGTCTGGGATTTACCGAAAACAAAGAGAGACAACTCAAACTATCATAACTGAAGTGGAAGTACACAAGAAGTCGAACTTTTATTCAAGCACATGAAACAGAAGAAAGTGTCAAAGATTGAAAACACGGGTATAATTGGAAGACCTGTAATTATTAAGTCATTATCAGAAGTTATGTGTCTCGTAAAAATACAAAAAAGAGAAGCCAGATAGGTCTCATTGATTAATTAATTGACGATGTTTGTACAATTTATACAAGTTAATTGAGATTTACTTATGATTCCAATTGATGATTGACTTAAAAGAGCTTAAAGTACTAACAGTACACTAATTATATACCCTCCAGGGAGTGGGGTAAATATTGCAATTAGCATTACTTTTACACATACGATGTTGAAAATTAACAAGAACCGTTTTATAAATTATGTGAAATTTTACGCGTTTCAATTTTACGGATTTATAAAACTCGTAAAAATCAGCAGCACGTAAAAAATACCCGTTATATGGTATTTATAATGAAGAAAGGTGCCTCTTCCAAAATGGTTGATTTCAAGGCCTCTTGGTCAGGGGTACTCAGAGGGGTGGGTGGGGGGAGAGGGTACATAGTCTGAAAATGAATTAATGCTTTGAAATCTGCTCTTTGATATTAATCAACCATTTTTTATGAAATATGATAAGTGTAGTAGTAAAATTAGATTTAAAAAAGTTTTATATTTTCCAGATGCATAAAGGCAAGCAAAATTTATCTAAAGAAAACAAAATCAATCTACTTCTTGACAATGAAAAATCCTTTAAAAAGAAATATAAAGTGGAACTCAAACTTGGAAGTGGAGCTTATGGCATAGTATACAAAGTAACTCCTAAAGTGTGTGACAAGGAACTTCCGGAGCCTTTGGCACTTAAAATTTTGTGTGGAGACTTGATGTATGATCCACAAACCACACTAAATGAAATTAAAAAAAATTTTCTCATTTGTAAAAAAGATTCATGTCAGAATGTAGTTTCCTTTTTTAGCTATAATGAGTACACTTATCAGGAATATCGGTATATATGTCTTGAAATGGAACTATGTGATGGTGGAACTTTGAAGAAATCAAATTTTCACGAACATAAATATGTCACTGATACATTTAGAAAGAAGGTTTTGGAACAGTCTATATCTGGTATGCTATTTATTCATGAATGTGGTGTGGCACACTGGGACATTCATGGAGGAAATATTCTCTTCAAAAGCCCAGCTGATGATACTATTAAATTTGGTGACTTTGGTTTGACAAGAGAAAGTCCAAGCTCACAGGATTTAGATATACAAGACCTTGGAAGAACTTTATTGAAGTGGGTTTTTCTAAGGGAGTCTGATTTGTCAGAAAATGCGAGTGAAATTGAAATCGAAAATCTTTTGTGCACAGTAAATGTCCAAAAGGATGTTAGGAAGATACTGGAAGGATTGACATTCAACACTATGTCGCTGTCAGAGGCACAGAGGAGAATAATAGAAATAAAAGGTATTCAAATACTTTTAGTTCTTAAGACATGGTTAAAACATTGAAAGTTGATCTTAACCTTTTTTCTTGTATTCCTCCATTCTGTAAACCTTACATTCTAAACTCCTGCTACTGGATATTAATTGCAAATTTACCATTTTTAGGATCATTGCACTGTGGTTTTCTAAATTAATATCCCCCCTCTCTTAAACTGATGATGTCAACTCAACATGATATGACTCTTTGAATCAAGTTACTGTTATAATAATATGTATGTTTCAAACTTTTACTGTTCTGTTTTAAGGTCCCCTTAGGTGACCTGTTGCTATCTGTTTTGATCTGTACTAGTTCATAATGTGTTTCATATGTAAACCTAAAATTGAAATCATTAAACATTTGTTATTATTTTAACAAGGCTGGAATGACTTGGGAGTAAGAGAACGTTCTATCATTGAACGTCAAACGGAGAGAGACAGGGTGTGGGCGTTGTCCGAGTATCGAGCACGCCGCGGCAGTAAGTTTATCATTGCACTGTGGTTTTCTAAATTAATATCCCCCTCTCTTAAACTGATGATGTCAACTCAACATGATATGACTCTTTGAATCAAGTTACTGTTATAATAATATGTATGTTTCAAACTTTTACTGTTCTGTTTTAAGGTCCCCTTAGGTGACCTGTTGCTATCTGTTTTGATCTGTACTAGTTCATAATGTGTTTCATATGTAAACCTAAAATTGAAATCATTAAACATTTGTTATTATTTTAACAAGGCTGGAATGACTTGGGAGTAAGAGAACGTTCTATCATTGAACGTCAAACGGAGAGAGACAGGGTGTGGGCGTTGTCCGAGTATCGAGCACGCCGCGGCAGTAAGTACCCCCCCCCCCCCCACGGCTTTCACTGAAAGTTCCGGGGGAAATTAATTTCAGTCTGTCCGTCTGTCTCTCTGTCTGTCTGTAACACCGTCGTTCCCGCAAGATATCTCAAGAAGCTTTTAAGCATCTATACAACTCAAAGTTGAGTTAAAAATAATTAAAATATTTGAATAACATTTAATTCATTTTATAGGTATTATTGCAAAAATACAGTTAAAAACACTTTTAAAACGCTATCTCTGCCCCTTAGAGGGACCCCTTAATTGAATGTGATAATTATACTGTTTTTATAGGGAGTAGACGTTCAGGGAACACACCCTCCCTATAGCCCAAGGTGGATCCATATTATTTAATTGAGGTCAAAAGTAATAAATTCTGTGTTATTTTTAACAATTTCGTTTCCGTATCTTTTGAAGTGAAGGTGTTTTTGAATTCAAAACAATTGTCAACGGTTAAGAGTAATCTAATATTTATTTATTTATTTATTTATTTAGGGGGGCGGGGGTTAATTGCAATGAAATCCTGTAAAGAAAGAATGGGAGAATCAGAGAATTAAGAGAAATAGGGATATTCTGATAGGGATATTTTGGGATGCATATGTATTTTTGCAATTAGCATCAATAAAACCTGTACGAGGGACGTTCAATAAATAATGTCAAAAGCTCGATGAAATACAACATAGAAGTCATATGACATAAAGCTTGACTTTCTCTCATTATTGAATCTTTAGTGAATTGATAACAGTTTGTCTGGTCACTTTTCATCGTATCATTTCATTGTGGGAAGCTATAAAACAAGGGCTATTCGAGACACTGCATTAAAAATGAATTGTCAAGAATCAGTAAACTAGAGTAAAATTAAACGTTTAATTTTTTAAAATTGACGGGAAGTTAAGATCTGTTTTGAAGTCACCTTCGAAAGAAATACTTTTATCTGTTATATCTAATTATGAAGAGAATTCAAACCCGAGTATTTTTTTCCATTAGTAGAATCCAAAGTCATGATATATCTTTTAAAAATCAAGAAATTAACTGAATATAATCCATAGTAATTTTTATATTAAAATGCATATTTACAGAATAAAGGAAAATCAGATATTTTTAAAGATTTTTTTTTTTTTGAGTTTAGTAACGAGGGCTAGAATATTGCCCGTGTACACTTTGTTGTGGAAAAAATGCTCGGGTTTTTTCTTCATGAGTTATACGTACATACAAGCGATAAATTTAATTTTTCGAAGTTTGATTTCACGCAATGTAAACAAAGGATTATTTGTTGTGTGACCTAACAAAATTTATTTTTTTTTTACTTTTGAATTTTGATATCTTTAAAAAGAAAAAGACTTTGGGGATATACTTTGACAAAAGTTTAAATAATTTATGGACAATTATTTTTCAAGAAGAAAAACGAAAACGTATAAGTGGAAATTTAAGCTCCCTAAAACTGTTATTTTATTTGTAGCGAGAAGCAATTTTAGCGATTTTAAAATGCTCACTAAATAAGCTAGTACAAATATAATGCGATTTATTTTTAGCGACATTCAATTTTAGCGATCACAACAGCCTCCTTTATAATGCCAAAATTAAATCCTCGCTAAAATTTATACTTATTCGCCGTTTACGTAGAAATTTTATCGAGTATTTAATTTTGACATTATGAGCGAGGGTGCTAAGATCGCTAAATTTACATCTCGCAAAAAATTGATTGTGTTTTATTTATAATAGGTTCTTAAATGAGTATTTTTAAATCGCTAAAATAACATCTCGCTAAAAATAAAATACCAGTTTTTAAGGACAAATCGCTAAATTTGCGTCTTGCTAAAATTTCCACTTGTACGGTGTATTTTTTTTAGCGATTAGAATCGGACCAAGCGGCTTTAGATATTAGAGAGGTCTTGTTCAAATTCATATTCGGGGAGAAAGTTCAATTTCTGTAGAGTCTAGAAAAAAGATTTTGCAAACAAATTTCCACTTATACGGTATATTTTTTTAGCGATTAGAATCGGACCAAGCGGCTTTTAAATATTAGCGAGGTCTTGTTCAAATTCATATTCGGGGAGGAAGTTCAATTTCTGGAGGAGTCTAGAAAAAAAAAAATTGCAAACAAATTGAAAGATTTTTTTTTAGAAGAAGGAAACAGAATGAGGAATACACTACATTAAATTTCTTCATGACAGCGTCAAAACCCACAGGCCATGAAGAGTAAAGGAGTTTTGGGGATAAACTGAAAGTTAACGTTAACGTTTTGTCACACCAACAAAATTTGCCAGATATTTCAATCTTTGACTTGTTTCATTTCCCAAACTTAGAAAAACATCTTTCAGAAAGAAAAAAAAACAAGTACAGCAAATCGTAGTATCTGCCTAATTCCAGTAATGGAAAGGGTCATACTCCAAAATGTGTTCGAAAAACAATTAGAAATTGAATGAAAATGTTACGGAGGTGTGTTTTTCTTAATTAAAAGAGGATATTTTAGCTAAATCATAAAAACAGTCATGGAAAAGAGTTTCTTGTTTCTTTCCGAGCCCCAATGGCATTATTTATTGAACGTCCCTCGTATAAAAATTATGTGTACAATTTATTGCTTTTTTTTAATTCTATATCCTTTAAGCAGAACTGAACTCGCTTTATATTCCTTTTTTAGTTCGATGTCCGACAGCTTTTGAGTTTGCAAGATTCTTGGATGACATCGAAGGTACTAGTAATTCCAGTGGAATAAACAGAAATAATTTAGGTACTCCGACATTCTGTCTCTCTTGCTCTCTCTCCTCTCTCCCTCTCTCTCTCTGTATCATTTATATTGTATTTTATTTGTAGAAGAATTTCGCCAACGGATCAAGGAGCTGGAAGACCAAGTAGAGTTACTGCGCCTGGCGATGTCGGCACATGATGTCCTTGATCTCAGAATCTGAGTTTTATTTAAAAAAATAACTTATTTCGACAAAAGCATTCCCGGTTCATTAACTTTTTTATTTTATATAGACAATTCATTACATGCATTCTTTATAAATATGTAATTTATTATTTGTATATTACCATGATAATCGTCAGTTGCTTTAAATGTTTTTTTCTAATTTTCTTTATTAAGTTTTGGTCACTATGGTACACTTTTGCATATTTGTAAAACAGTTACAGAAATATCTTTACATTTTAGGAGTTATTTATAAGTGTTTACAGACTTGTTGGTAGTGTATGGGAAGAGGGTGGTATCATATTTAGTATTCCACTATTGTTCCTTTGAGTGATGCTGGGAGAGTCTTTTACCTATACCCACTTTTTAAAAATTTCAATTCCACCTATTCCCACTCGCAAATAACAATATATATTTAGATAGATATTTTTTTTACAGTAATTAGAGTTAATACATCCCCTCTTAGACATATATGTATTTTGTACATTTTAAGGGCTGCATTTTATTTCCGGAATTTTTAGTAATTTTCAACTTTTCATTTCCGACATTTTTTAGTTTTCATTTCCGACATTTTTTTGTTTTCATTTCCGACATTTTTCAGATAGTACCTTTAGTAACAGATTTGAAGACTTTACCTATGAAAAATTTATAGGAATACATGTACATATATAAATAAATCATTGAAATCCAATTTTTGAGTTTTTGTAAATTTATCAATGAAACGACTGTGGTAAAATGTAGGCAACTACCTGTATTAAAGTTTGAGAGATTGACTCAATGTTTACTGAATTACTCTGAGCAGACGTTAAGCAGAAAAAAATGAAGTTCTGTGTAGTAATGTGTAATAAATGCGCTATAAGCTGGAGTAAAAACTAGATTAGAGTACATCAAGTGTCTTGGACATAAGTTTGGTGCTGTCACTGACATTTATTTTAGTGCACATTAAATGAAGTAAAAAAAGTATGTTCATTGAATTCTTTAACCTAGACTTCGTGCTACATGTCAAGACAAGGAAGTAATGAATACATTTCAAAATTTATGAAAAAATGATTTTGTTTTTTCGTTTATCAAAAAAATTATGGATTTTAGAAAATAACAACGAGAAAAAAAAAATTCTTACAAGAATAAGCACGTTTATATCTTGATTCTAGAACACAAAATAAAAAAGATTTATCGGGGGGAAACATTAAAATAGCTGGATTTTAAAATGAACATTATGAAAATTTATTTAATTCACTTATTTTTCTTAAAATATTAGTTAAAAAAGTCTCATTTATAATACTAAAAAAATTAAATACATGTATTCATTAATAATTGTCGATCATTGTTTACATTGTGGTTATATGTTTTCAGGGTTATTTGTTTATACAAAAAATCCACCTTTTCCCACATGAAATCTTTTTCCTTCCTGATTTTCAAAAAGTGTGAGTAGGTAGAATGAACCATGCTGGGTAATGATGGATGCCTACCATTATCCCCCCTCCCCCTCCTCCGCCTTCTAAACAAAGGGTCTTCGTTAGTTTCAAGTATTCTTCTACACCATATTTAAAATATGCCTAATACGAAAAATAAAACTTATTCAAAGAAGTAAATTTTTTAAAATCCTATATAAGAAATGTGATTTGTAGGTATATTACCACGAACATGTAAAACTTTAAACAATATTTTTTTACAGAAAATGACAGCAATAAATAAGTACATGAACAGGAGGCCGATGGGCCACATTGCTCACCTGAGCAACTTTGCTTTTTTTAAAACTCCCTTCGTGGTTTATTACGAGATACTCTGTTTAAGGGAAACTAAATTTAATTTTATGGTCACTCCTCTTATGGGGTTTGAGGGGTGGGGCAAAAACCGGCCGACTAAAAATTAATGCAATCTTTAAAAATCTTCACTTCTGGACGTCATGGAGTAAAACTGTTGGTGAAATTCTCGAACCCTGGGTCACGGGTTCTGGTGCTAGGGTGGTGGTGCTTTGTTGAATATATTACCGCATATTTGAGTTCATCTCACAATATGCGTCGTTATCAAAGCTCTATATCCTTTAATTATATGTCATCATTCACCTCCATTTTGTGAAAAATTAAATAAATGAGATAAGCCGGAATTTATTTATCCATCCATGCAGTGTCTGTGCGTAGTTACTAGGTTTACGGATTATCTCCCCTTTTCTATGTATCAATGAAAGTGAAAGGTGGGTGATGAAAGTATCCGATTTATTTTTCTGTATTATGAAATATTTTATAATAATTTCCAGTTTTTAAAGTTAAGTTTCAGTCAAAGAATTAACATGGATTATCTTATCAACATTGATATTGCTCGATGGCAAATATTTCATTGGATTGAAACAGATCGATTTTCCTCCCGTCCATACTTTAAACACTGGCACATGGTACAAGATATACAAATATGGTAATAATAACCAACTTCATCAGTATATTTTGAATGAAGAAAAGCGTATTTAGTGAAATATTATTTAAACAAAATGAGCTAATCTAAAAATAGGTCTGAACTTCAACTTTATTCGGTCCATGTTATTCAAGGTCATTGGTCAAACATCCGTACACATGGTAGCCTATATTTAGATACTTACATGTAGGTCCCTTGGCATACAATGTATCTTTAGGGGGTTTAGAAATGGGAATATACATAGTTATAATTCTTACAATATGAGTATGGTTTTGTAACTTTGGGCTTGTTGTTTTTATCAGTTTATTCAAAATATTTGTGACATTTAAAAGAAAAAAAAAACTTTTCCTTAAATCAGTGAATAAATAGAGAACATACAGATTGAGAATAAATTAAAGTTTGATAAAGCTATTGTATCATGTCTTTAGAAATGTTATTTACCCTGATTCACATAGGAACAGAACTCTAATTAAAGGATATAAATTTTCAATCAAGGCCATTCAACTTTAACAATGGTCCAAAGAGAAAGAGGCATGAAAGGTATGGAATTGCAACAAAGGCAGTAAACAATTGTGAAATAAAATAATTCAAAGTAAAATAAAGAACAGATTGTGGAGCTTTTGAATGTTATATTACAATTAATGCATTTTTATGTATATGAATTTAACATGAAATAAGATGTGTATTTGTTTATGTACATATTTACAGTTGTACATGTACACATGCTATGACAAAACTCAAGGTAAGTAATTTATACGAATGATGACTAAATAGATTTTGGGTAAAAAAAAAAATTCAGTTGGATGGAAGCATTGCAATGAACAATTCAGGCTGTAAAAGCTGGGGGCATAGGTTCTATGCACCTAAGTTGTATTGTACAGTGTCTGTCAAATCTACATATAAATAGTTATATTAGGACCAGCAGCATCCTCATCTATTCGGATATCTCTTCTCTTAGGGGGCTTGGCAAGGAGGACTACTTCAGACTCAACCAGAACAATAACAATGTGTGCATAGTAATTTAGGGCCTCAATGGTTCACTAGTTGATATAGATAGGATTCCCCAAATTTTATTTTAATTAAGTACATGTACATATCTATTATCTAGCAAGTCTAGCTATTATTTTGCTGGTTAATATATGTATATATAAGTGTTCAGATTAAGTAAGAGGGGGTCAAAGGCTTGTTTCACATATAAATTCTGTGTTGACATTTTCGTTGGTTTGGTTAAAGTTATGAATAAAGGAAATAAATGAAGGTCAGGCTGTTTGTACATTTGGAAGCCGTCTTCAGTGTATATGAACATAATTATGATTTTTTCTAACAGGGCCTGTACCTTATTCGAGTCGGTTTGATGATATCATGATAACACAATAAAGACACATACATTTAATGACTTCTCGCCCCTTAACTGCATAAAGGCCTTGTATTTTTTATAGTTGTGTTTAGTAAATGAAAAGTTTTGTACCATCTTAAGTTAACATGAAAAATCAGGTAAACTTATTTTACTAAATTTATTATATAGACTATTTCACAAACGTCGATAATTAACAGAGATGAATTTTAGCTCGGGCTTTTATTTCCTGACTGTTTTTTAAGACTTATACAAGAAGAAAATCTTGAGGTATTTAAATATAATTCTACAAATAAAAGACTATAAAATAAATAATAATTTATAGGCTAATCTTGTCAAAATTATTAGTAATCTAACATTTATTCCTTTGAGTTATCTTTCTCATCAGGGAAAGTGAACCTCAAAATATTAAATGCAACTTCGAGTCCCTGAACTTTTACCAGTTTTAATCAAGTAATTCAGTTTCGGAAAGGGATGAGGGACAAATTACAGAGTTCTTTAGGTGCTAAAGTCAATGCAGGCTCATTTGAATAAGGTTCGCAGTGCTGATCTTTCTATGCATTTTCCTTATGGCATATGCTGTATGAATGGTCATAATAATAAATAAATCAACAAATAAATAAAATAAAGAGGGTTATAATGAGACTTACAGTATAAGGTTTAAAATGGGGCTTAAATCTTTGTCAGTGTTGGTTTTTTCTGTGTCTCTAAGTTATTAGATAAAAAAGATTTGCTATTTTCACACAGATAAAACTTGCTTCAGTTAAAATTCTATATCCACAGATTTTAAACTCATAAAAGATAAATTGTTTAGGTAACTGGTTTTATTCATGTGGAATTATAAGATTTAAAGTTAAATAAATAAGATGAAAGAACGGCATAAGGCGAGATTTCCTAACAGCATAGAGATACAAATTGGGGGGGGGGTGTTAGATACATATTGTACCACAGGCTAGATTATAATCTGATCCATTTCCTACAATATTTTCTTTTTAATAGTAGGCGATTACTGTTAGCTTACACATATACATATCATAGAGGCATTTCTTCATTGAAAATATCAGTTCGAACCCAGTTGCCTTTCGCATTTATTAATATGGTATATGTTTATCCCTTATCTCATGTGAGCAGTTAGCTGAATTATTTTCTGTTTACACATTAATCTTATATGGGATTAAGATGCATTAGTCGGTGCATAATTGCATATGTACATGTAGTTTACATCCATGCATCAGCTA